GAGTTAAATCCAGCTGTGCAGGGTTATTCATATACAAATATCTCCATCTCTAGTCAACATGTTTGGACTATGGACCACCTACTTAGACTATAAACCTACAAAACAGATTGAGTTTTTAGAAGTGGGGAATCTGTACCATCAAAGAGGTTGGACTGTTCTGTAATGAGGGCCCATGAGAACATGTTCTTTTAGATTTCCTGTTCTACTTTTGATCTCACCTTTTCAGCAAATGACTAAAATAATTTTTAGTCAAGGAATGTAACAAGAAGGACCTTTAAAGAGAATTAGACAGTGTCATGGAGAAAAAGGCTATGAATGGCTCCAGACCTGATGGCTATATATGACTTCCTTCTCTAAATACCAATTCTTGGGGAAGGGAAGGAAACAGGGAGAACACTATTGTGTTCATCACCTTGCTTCTGGGCTTCCCACATACATCTCGTAGACTATTGTGGAAACCAAACAGTGGGCTAGAAAGGTCTCAGGTGAAATCTATCAGGTCTGTTTTTATGTTTTTAACTACAATTATATACATATATTAAAAAATAACTCTATTCCATTTGCCTTTTTTAGTTCAAGGGTCCTCGAAACTATCATTACGAATGGCGTTCTTCTGGTAACTTTTATTTTATATCTTCTTTCTTTCACCATAGATATCTAGGGCAGGTAACACAAAGATATTATACATTACATCCAAGTCTGCAACTCATTATTTCCTCTGAGAGGGCAGTGTAAAGAAACTGAATGTCACTTTCCTTCTCTTGCCTTCAATACCTAATTAGCCATATCCAGTTACTAACTACCCAATCATTACAAAAAGGTTTGAGAGGAGCAACTATCCTCTCACCACTTGAAAATCAAGGTTCTTGCTCAAGTTTAGAGCCAACACATAAACAAGAGTTTCTCTTCTTCAAATATGTCAGCTCTCCTTGTGGGGAAAGAGACAACAGAGAGAGAAAAGGGCAGTTGCTTCCTCAAAGTATCATGACAACAAATGGGTAGGCAATGACTGGACAGAGCTAATGTCTGGAGTCCTGGTCAGATTTTCCTCATATGGACAGAATCACCACAGTAGAGGGGAACACCTACCTCCTTCTAATTGCTATTATTTTCTCTGTGTGAAAGGGAATTCTGGGGTTCTTGCATGCATGCAGAGCCTACAAAACAAGCAGTAATGTGTCTTCTGCAGATGGATCACTTTCCCCATGGGGGAAATTACTGATGACATGGATCTTCTTTGCTGTCATGCTGAAGCACACCTTTGGAACTGCAACAGAAGGTGTCTAGCTCCAGACTAGATCAGATGGAAAGCTCTTTAATCTCTCTAGATTGAGAGTGAATACCAAAGTCCAGCTGAAATGCATGGGGGAATTTCCTGTTCGCCAATGATGCAGTTGTTGTTTCCCATTCTGCTGAAGGCCTCCAACAACTTCCAAATCATTTTAGAAAGTCCTGCCAAGACTTTGGATTAACAATCAGCCTGAAGAAAACATAAGTCATGGGTCATGGCGTGGACTCACCTCCCTCTAGTACCATCTCTACAGAAGAATTGGAGGTTGTTCATGACTTTGCATATCTTGGCTCAACTATCTCTGACACTTTCTCCCTAGATGTCAAGCTGGATAAACGCATTGGCAAAGCAGCTACCATGTTCTCTAGACTCACAAAGAGAATATGGCTTAATAAGAAGCTGACTGCATATACCAAGATCTAGGTCTATAGAGCCTGTGTCCTGAGCACACTCTTGCAGCGAGACCTGAACCCTTTGTGCATGGCAGGAGAGGAAGCTGAACACGTTCCATATGCATTGTCTCCAATGCATTTTTGGTATCACCTGGCAGGACAAAGGTCCAAAGAGAGTAGTCCCAGAACGAGCTGGAATTTTTAGCATGTATACATTACTGAAACAGTGACATCTACATTGGCTTGGGTATGTTGTGAGAATGGCTGATGGTTGGATTCCAAAAGATCTCCTGTATACAGAATTAGTGCAGGGAAAGTGCCCCAGAGGAAGACCACAGCTGCGATACAAGGATATCTGCAAATGGGATCTGAAGGCATTAGGAATGAACCTCAACAGATGGGAAACTTTGACCTCTGAGTCTTAGACATTGTTCCAAGACCTCAATTCAGAGCATGTTATCATAGTCTTTCAAGACTGAAGGATACCTACACTCAGTGAAGGCCTACAGACATAAGCCCTGTACATGCATTGTAAACTGTACTTCTAGAAAGAGAGCTAACCTCAATGAAGGCCTACAGACATAAGCTCTGTACATGCATTTTAAACTGTACTTCTAGAAAGAGAGCTAACCACATTCAGTTGAACACACTGAAATTCCTCCATGTTAGGGACTTGAACACATAGAGCACTTTAGGCATGTTCAACTGAATACCAAGAAATGATCCCTGTCAACATGAGGACGTTGGAAGTGGAAGGAGCAAATATGTGTGCCCAGCATTCTCTCCAAATTTCCAGTTTCACATAATTGAACAGAGGCAAAATTACAATTTCCATGCAAGAATAGTTTTCACTATGACTGGAAAAACACAATAGTAATAACTTTTATAGCTAAATGGAACAATGCCTTCAGTTTAGGATCATTCTGAGGGATTTTGCTTTTGTTGAACATTGTCTGCTCTACATAGTCAGTACGTTCATAGTTATTTGCTGTGCACAGTGTTGACACAATATGGACATCATGACAGTCCTGTCCTTCTTTCAGATAATATGCCTTCTGTTTAACTTTTCTCACACCAGAGGAATATTAACTGAAATGCAGATCTTTCCATGGATGTTAACAGAGCATGCCTCTTAAGGACATATGTCTGCCTCTCAGTGTTTTCACCCCTTTCCATTTCAAAATATTCAAACCCTGTATAAAATACTTATTGACTGCCTATTTTATTTATTTACAGAAATGTTTTAACTATTTACATCTGAAGATTTCAAGGATTAGGTAGAAAAACCATTGCATTCAGCTATATATTTGATATTTGTTATAGAAAATATTATTAAGCCCTGTTTAGTTTTTAAGAGGTGTGCAGAGCCCATAGGCATTGAGGGAAGAATGCTAACCCTGCCTCCTCCATCATTCTTTGAACATGGAAACATGACTGTTTGAACAAAGAGAGACTGCTCTGATCATGCAGTCTCTCTGTGCAAGCAGGACCCTGATTCTGTAGGGCTTGGGCTCACACAGAGAGGTTATGCAGCCTCTCTCTATTCAAACAGGTGTGTTTCTGAGTTCATGATGGTAGAGGGAATAGTGCTTAGGTGTTCCCCTCAACCTAAGTGGTCTCCATTGATCTTAAGAAATGAATAAGATTCTAGTGGTTAAAAGTTCTGACCTTGTCCTTTCTGAAGGCTGGTGAAGAAGAAAAAAAGAATGTTTTTCTTTTAGTTAAATTCACAATAAATATTCTTATGCTGTGCTTCCTTACATTTCTACAGTCCCGCCAAGTTTGCTGTTTGGAATGTGAGGTGGAGAAGAAAAAGGCAAAAAAATCAAGTAAGATTTTTATTTCATTAAGAAAGAATTCTCTCACAACTTTATACCTTGTGATGCATGTTATTTATTTATTTATTTATTTATTTATTTATTCATTCATTCATTCATTCATTCATTCATTCATTCATTCATTCATTCATTCATTCATTCATTCATTTAGCTAGTTAGTTTGCTATTTAGTTTGCTAGTTAGTTTGCTAGCTAGCTAGCAAGTAAATATACGACCAATCGGGCCAAGGACCACTCTATAGGACCTTTCTGAAGGCTGGTGAAGAAGAAAAAAAGAATGTTTTTCTTTTAGTTAAATTCACAATAAATATTCTTCTGCTGTGCTTCCTTACATTTCTACAGTCCCGCCAAGTTTGCTGTTTGGAATGTGAGGTGGAGAAGAAAAAGGCAAAAAAATCAAGTAAGATTTTTATTTCATTAAGAAAGAATTCTCTCACAACTTTATACCTTGTGATGCATGTTATTTATTTATTTATTTATTTATTTATTTATTCATTCATTCATTCATTCATTCATTCATTCATTCATTCATTCATTCATTCATTCATTCATTCATTTAGCTAGTTAGTTTGCTATTTAGTTTGCTAGTTAGTTTGCTAGCTAGCTAGCAAGTAAATATACGACCAATCGGGCCAAGGACCACTCTATAGGAATACTTAGTACAATTTCATACTGGGGTGGGCTACTTCTAGTTTTCTTCTCCCCATCTCTCAGGAAATTCTGTCTTTGTGGAATTCACTACCAGTATAGTGATGGCAGGAAATTTATCACTTTGTTAACACTTGAGCAAAGTGGAGAGGGGAAATCTGGCTTATTTTTAAGGAGAATTGAGTACCCAGAGGTTTCTAGGAAGTGCACTTATCATTAAAAACATTCAGCATACTCCCTGGATACCTTGCTTATATGTGAAAAAGCAACAACGTTGACATTTTATCTCTTTCCTTTAGTCCATGGGCTAGATACCTGCCAGCTGAACTACTGTCACACTTTGTACATGAGACTGTCCTCAAACACAACTTAATTTTTGAGAAAACTCTTTGCTTTCTTTTAGAACAAAGACTGGCTCTTACAGTGAAAGGATCCTATGAAAGACACCGGGAGTTCAATTTTGGCTCTAACTTCTGCCTGAGGCCAACGTGTCAGACCACATTCCACTATGTCAAATATAAACATCAAACCCTTGACATTAAACTACCAAAGAAGGGCCTAGATTATGCCATTGTAAGTTGTTCAGCAACCTTGCATTAACTGTAAAAAGATTCCTGTTTGTTCCCGCTTTTCCCCCTCTCTTATTGATGATTTTTAAGCTATTAAGAGACTATTCATGTTGCAGATCTGCTGGTGCATTTGATAGACAGACAAGCTAGGTACATCAAAATCAAAATTTTCAAAAGTTCTGGTAAAAAAAATCATATTTATCTTCCTAGGGCCGATGTTCCTATAATAAAGAGGAAAGACCCTTAAAAGTGGAAATTAATTCAATTCCTAGAAGCAAGAACATAGTACTAGCAGAGGTAAGAACTGTCTTGGTTCTCATCTTGCATAATACTTTTAACTACTTGTGTTTGAATAGGAATTTGTTTTATCCCGCTCTGTGGAATACGAGATTATGCAGACCAATCCATCATTACCGTTGGCTGTGATTAGGTAGATGATAGACAATATTACGTGTGCTCTGCATTGAAAAGAAAAAATATAACCAGAGTAATCCTGGTCCTGTAGTCTCAATCAGTTAGTGGTCAGTTGACTAAGTGATCACACAGGGAAATAGGTCATATTTTGGATCACTTTTGGAGCCGTCCAGTGCAATCTAGTCCCTGGTGATTACAAAGCAGGGAATTGTGCTTCAGCTTGATCCCAGTCCATGCCCAAGCTGGACCTTTTTGTTCCATTTGTAGGGTTACTATTTTAGTGGGTAAAAGCTAGAACGATTCCCAGACAGACAGAAGAGTCACTTTAAGGGAGGTTGCTGCCTACAAAGTGACCCTTTCTTGTGAGATCGAACACACACCTCTCCCTCTCTCTGATCACACCCTGTTGCTAATTATTTTGTCTGCTTTTGAGGAATAAAAATGTAATGCAGAAGGAAGAAATTATGGAATACATGTTTACCTTAGCAGTTTAAAGCATTCAACACAAGTTGTGTTTGGGAAAAAACATGTGTGAACAAAACTGACTGGTTAGAACAACAGATACAGAATCAGAGACTTAAATTCATTGACCACCTGCAAGAAGATAGTGCATTTCTGCTCATGCATGAGGAGAAAAATCATTCATTGGTTGCCTCGAGTGTTGCCTTCTACTGTACAAAGGAGGGCCCGTAGAGGAAACAGCAACTTTGCCGTTCATAAGTGGAAGTGCCTTTGACAAAGAAGGAATCTTTTAGTCAAGTGGCTGAAATTGTCTCAGAAATCAGCAATTATAAACCTGCAATAGTCACTGCATTGTTCAATGAGTAAACCCATAATAAAGAAGGATTGTTCTCCTTAAGTTACAAATGACATATGATTTTTTAAAAAACTTCTCAGAAAGAACACTGATGCCAGAAAGAACAAAGATGGTGTCCTTGAAGTATTTATTGGAATCTGGATCTAATTTTATGCCTACAGTTACCAATTCAGCAAACAATGTGTTTCCAGAATCTTTTTACATATCTCTCCTAAGCTGGAACAGGATTCAGAGTCTTTATGCATAGTGCCTAAAGGACAGTGTTTACAATGGATTCCTAGGACTGAAAAGCATTAATAACAAATTCACATTCTGGATTTTCAGAGTAATACATTTGCTTTGCATGTGAAGACAGAAGACTGGTAAGAGATCTATCCTCTCTTGGATGGTAATGGCTACCATTTTACCTATTTCTCTCTTTGTCTCTTGGAAAAATATCATAAGGGAAATTAGCTAAACATGCATTGATTTAAAGTGGGATACTGTATTATATATGTATGGGGAGAATAAAAATTAATAACATAGATGTACTTTGAATACTTAGTCCAAAATTATGTTTAATGAATATACAAGGCTTGTATCAATTAAACAATTTTATTTTATAATGAGAGGAAATGGTGTACCTGCCAGCTTGAGTAAACCACACATCTCTGGTTTAACTCTGGTAGCACTGTATATATTCCAAACTAATGCTGTGTAAAGCCATCACATACGTGTTGTTTGCTGATTTAAAAAAAAACTAGTGATTCTTGTCTTGCTACCCACTGTACTGATGATCAATGTAGGATTACTTTCAAGACATCTCTAAACAGATTCAAATGCTAAAATACATGCTGCATTTCTTTCTTTATGTGTGTTTTCTAGTCAGAGAGGCCTCGATGTTCGCTTGGAATGTGACCTTTGTCCCCAGGAAAAGGAATTCTTGAACAAAAGGAAGATCATTGTTGCTGATGGTTTCAAAAAGGTTCTTGGACTAGAAAAGGACCTACAAGATCACGAGGTATGTAATCAGGTCAAGCGACTGACCAGGATTCCAAAGAATGTCAGGTTTGTAGAGGAATATATGTAGGTAAATGCAATTGTATTCTAAATAGATATGGTAAGGCAGTGCTAAGACTGCTTCTTAAGTAATCTACCCTTGCCTAGAAGATCTGTATACTTTTAGAACAGTTGTGCAGGTCCCTTTTCTGGGCAGGACCTTAAACAGATGATGGTAGACTAGATCCTTTTCAATCATAGTTCAAAACTAGTTTGGCCCTAAGATTACCTTGGTCACCCTATATGATGATGTGTAACAAGGAAGATTTGCTTTAATCTTAAAATAGTCTCGCTGATTCACCTTGGTATTATGTGCTACCATAGTACCCTTTCAGAATGGTTTTCCAAGTTGGAAACCAGAGGCATTACTCCACTTTGGATGGACACTTCCAGAGGTTGGTATTTGCTTGGTTGGCCCCATAAAGCTTCCAGTTTGGAACTCTTTAGAATTTTGAAGTGTATGATCATCTATATTCTACTTCTCTTTTTCAGCTCAGGCAGGTACAGAAGTGGAGGTACAGGGAACAGAGAGGGAATAGAGGGAATAGAGGAACCAGTCACTAAGAGTGCTTTTGTTCAGAGACTCAAAAAGTAGGCAATAAGTGGAATAGAAATTTCTTTGCCCCAAAGAAGTTAATACATCAAATTTTGTTGTGTTTATTTATTTTTTAGGAAATTTTTCTGTCAACCATCAATCTGTGCTTCTTTTTTTCTTTTCCCTCCTCCTTCTACCACTTCTTCATCCTCCACATCCTCTTAGTTTCTTCTGCTTCCGCATTCTCACCTCTTCTTTTTCTTCATCCTCCCTTTTTTCTCATTCTTTTCTTCCTCATCTTCCCCATCTCCCTATGGTTACTCTTCCTACTGTTGATCCTGTTGCTCTTGATTTTTTCAAAAGTGATGACATCTAATTATAATGAGCAAGTGCTTGTGATGGATTGTTCTTATGTGTTAGTGTAATGGAGGATGTTGTTACTGAAGGTGGGTCATCTTTAGTTGTTTACTAAATTCAGAATTACTGCAGACTTTCTTTAGAAAGGTGCTGTCTGAAGATTCTTATAATATCCAGATATATTCAGCATGGATTTACTTATCAGCTAATTGGTTAATAGGCAAATCTTTCAGATTGTTTTATTGGTGATGCATGAGGTCTTGAGGGTTCACAGCCAGCATAGGATAGAACATGTTTCACAAGCAAATTAAGATCAGAATACATAGAACATGAGCACTGTGGTGTGTGTTTGCTTCATATCATGAATAGATTAGCAGGCAGATGTATAGATGTGTATACATTTTTGTATAATCTTATCACTACTCTGTTTCCCCGAAAATAAGACCTAACCTGAAAATAAGCCCTAGTATGATTTTTCAGGATGCTCATTAATATAAGCCTTACCCCAAAAATAAGCCCTAGTTAAGTGAAACCCCGTCCTCCAGCATTGTCCAGCATTGTGCAGCAACCAGAAGAAGATGACATGACTGTATTTGAATAAATGTAGATTGTTGTACATCCCCTGGAAATAAGCCCTAATGCATTTTTGGAGCAAAAATTAATATAAGACCCTGTCTTATTTTTGGGGAAACACGGTAGTATGAATCCACAACTCATCCACCTTCCCCTTCCCCTTATAAAAGCCCATTGTTTATCTTTCTTAAATCTTAATTCTAATTTTAGCATTGACCACCAATCCATTGGTAGACCCATTTCCTTCTTATCCTGTATATTTTTAATTGTTGCTCTTTTTCTGCTGCCTCCACTGCTTTGGTGAAATAGTCTATCTTCTGAGTACTTTGTTCAATGTCCTCTTTGAGTCCTAAAGTCACCGCCTTGATTTCTAGAGTTTGGGCTTTAATCTGTTCTGTAACTTGCCTAATAATATTTGTTTGCATCTCCTGCATTTAATTCTTAAAAGAATCTTGAGCTATTATATTGGATAAGCTTGTAGGTTGGCTAACAGAGTTGGTTGCCATTTCTGATTCCTCCGATTTGTATATCCAAATTCAGCCAGGGGCAGTTTTAATTTATAAACCACTGTCCGCAGATCACAGCAAGGCCGCTCAAGGGGGTTCCCCCAGTTTTGTGCATAAACACCCAGTTTCCCCCAAGTTACCTCTATTCAGCAATTCAAATCTTGTTAAATAGTCTAATATTATGCCAAGAAATCTCTATGAACAGAAACAAAAGGCTAAAAGATATGACGCTGGAAGATGGGCCCCTCAGGTCGGAAGGCGTCCAACATGCTACTGAGGAAGAGTGGAGGACAAGGACAAGTAGCTCCAGAGCTAATGAAGTGGTTGGGCCAAAGCCGAAAGGACGCTCAGCTGTGGACGTGCCTGGAAGTGAAAGGAAAGTCCGATGCTGCAAAGAAAAATACTGCATAGGAACCTGGAATGTAAGATCTATGAATCTTTGTTAGCTGGATGTGGTCAAACAGGAGATGGCAAGAATAAACATTGACATCCTGGGAGTCAGTGAACTAAAATGGACAGGAATGGTTGAATTCAATTCAGACGATGACCATATCTACTATTGTGGGCAAGAATCCCATAGAAGAAATGAAGTAGCACTCATAGTCAACAAAAGAGTGGGAAAAGCTATACTGGGATACAATCTCAAAAATGATAGAATGATTTCAGTATAAATCCAAGGCAGACCTTTCAACATCACAGCAATCCACGTTTATGCATCAACCACCAATGCTGAAGAGGCTGAAGCTGCCCAATTCCATGAAGACTTACAAAACCTTCTAAAACTGACACCAAAGAAAGATGTTCTTGTCATTATAGAGGACTG